AATTTTTTAAAAAGAAAGAATTACAATGCTACCTCTAAAACAAGCCTGGACTATTTTTTAGCCTCTGAAAGGATATATTTGCTGATTATTTTTAATCCATTAACTTCCCAAAACAATTTGCATCTGGAGCATTGGACCTGGTCGATACATGTCCAGGCCGTTTTGACCACCAGGACTTAACATTTATCTGAGATTGCTAATATAAAAAACGACCCAAATGCTTGAACGTGGGAATAAAGGGTATAGGCCATTATAGCTTTGGAGAGGAAAGGATATTAGAAGGGAAGACGGGCCAGGTGGTGCCTTATACTTGTAATCCCAGCACTTTGGGAGGCCAAAGTGGGAAGATCACTTGAGCTCGGAAGTTCAAGACCAGCCTCGGCAATATAGCAAGACCCCATCTCTACCAAAAGTTTAAGAAAAATTTTAAAAAGAAGGGAAAAACTTTCTGGAGCAAGTATGCTTTCACATGCTCTGTCATTTGCTATAATTATAACAAGAAATTTGTAAGACAAAAATACCTATTTTTCTGACATTTACAAATGATAAAATCAAGGGTTAAATAGAGGAAAATGCTTAAATCACAGTGATTAAATGTGGAAGCCCCTGGTTTTCTCATATTCCGTTTCTGGGGGGTAGTTGGTATCCTGCCCTTCTAGTTTCTAAACCTGAGAAGTTTCCAGGTAATTTGAATCATGATCTTTACATGTGGTAGCCAGAAATACAATTTACATAACTAAGTGAAAATAGGGTTCTAAGTGATCTCATTTTAGAAGTTAGTATTAAACTTTATATATGCTTACCTCTTGCAAGTTGGAATCAGTTTTAACAAGTAAAGAGTGCTCAAACAAAGTCTGTTATTAAGCATACTTCTTATTCTGAACTTTAAAACTCCTTGAGGCAGAAACTCCTTTCATATGTCCTTGTTCCTACAGCCCTTAACCTGACTGGTACTTGAGTACTTAAACATTTATGGAATTGAGGCCAGGTGTGGTGGCTCACACCTGTAATCCCAGCACTTTGGGAGGCTGAGGCAAGCAGGTTACTTGAGGCCAGGAGTTCTAGACCAGCCTAGGCAGCATGATGGAACCCCATCTCTATTAAAAATACAAAAATTAGCCAAGCATGATGGCGTGTTCCTAACGCTGAGACACAGGAATCACTTGAACCCGGGAGGTGGAGACTGCAGTAAGCCAAGGTCGTGCTACTAGGCTCCAGCCTGGGCAACAGAGCAAGACTCTGTCTCAAAAAAAAAGAAAAAAGAAGATTATGGAATTGTATGAAATTAATAAATTGAGATTGACTAGCTTGAACAATTTTATTTTCTTGAAATCAAGAATCATGAAATAAGCTCCTTCTCTTCTGCTTGGTGCCCCCTTCTTCCATTCTGTTTTCCCTGATATATATAGATATCTTCATTCTGGTTTACTACCACCCCTGCCAGTGCATACACACAAACTGTTCTTTCCTGCATGCATTTTTAAAAAAGAAAGATCTAGGTGTTGTGGGGGGGGGGGTGGAAAAAAATTATAATCATAAGGTAAACATGGAAAGTCATCTTTGGTCTAACTTAAAATACATATTGTAAGCTATATATGAAATTAACTTTGATTGGCCCTGGTGGGGAAGACCTTAAAGTTCTCGAAGGAATTTTAAACTGGGGTACAATGAGAGGCCCATGTACTTGCTAATCTATAGAAATCCACCATATATATTAAAGTTCCATGATCAAAGAAAATTACTTTTTTTCCTTTTTTTTTTTGAGACAGGGTCTCACTTTGAGCTGGTGTCATCACAGCTCACTGAAGCCTTGACCTCCGAGGCTGAAGTGATCCTACCATCTCAGTCCCCTGAGTAGCTGGGACTATAGGGGCGTGCCACCAGACACAGCTAATTTTTTAAATTATTTTTTGTAGAGACAGGGCATTTCTATGTTACCCAGGCTGGTCTCGAACTTCTGAGCTCTTGCTGATCCTCTCGCCTTGACCTCCCAAAGTGCTGGAATTACAGCCATGAGCCACTACCCTGACCAACAATACTTTTATATAAAACCCATATTGATAATAATAAGGGTAGACACATTAGATTTAAAGTTTTGGCTTGTTAGTTACTTTTCATGTAAACATATCTATATAATATGCTCTCATTTTGGGATTTGCTAATTTAAATCTGATTAGTGATTTTCCAGGGCAGGGCCTTCTCGACTAGCTATTGGCAAAATTGAAAGAACACATTGGTTCTGCTGTATAAAGGAGAGCCACCTTAGTGCATTCTTTTTTCTTGCAACCCAAAAATTATATTGACTTTACTTTTGGGATAGGAGGCTTATTGTTTCATGGTATCAGGCATGTGCGGAAAGTTGCCAATTACTTCTGGAATCCCAGTAGTGATGAGAACTATATAAATCCCAAGAGTTTAATGGAAAATTGGGAGATCTACACAGGTCAGAGAGAACAGCTGCTGTTAGAGCTATTACATAGTTTGATGTTGCAAAGGAGGAACTAAAATTGGCACTATCGATAAGAGCATGTGCGCACCTTTGGCTTGCTGATCATTTCAGAGCCTCTGGAAGTAGAAACTGAGCGTTCCTGAATCTATGGGAATGCAGTTGGTCACGGATTAAGGACTTCAGACTTTGTGTTGTTTAAAGATTAGAATGTTTTATGTTTCATTTGGGAGGCTACATCAGTATCTTTTGCAGTTGGTCTCAAATAAAAGGCATTGAACTTGGTGAGTTTTTAAAACAGTTTTTGATCACATTATTTCTATTTCTAATTTTCTTAGTCTTTAGTAAATGAATCCAAGTGACTCAGTGTCATTTAAATGAGTGAAATGAGGAGGTACAGGAGTGGTATGTAAGTGATTATGATGGAGAGTTTCCTGAAGGGAATTACCTAGATGTAGGATCCAGAAGGGGATTAATTAAATAAAGTTTAGCAGATCTAAGTTTTGTGAGTTTGCCAGTTGAAGAGATGGGAGATTGTAGAATTGAAGCTGCAAGATCATTCCGTTGGTGTAAGTCTTACATACAAAGGCATGGCCACAGGAAAATCAGAAAAGATAAGTTTGGCCAGAGAAAATGGTATGAACTAAAAGTAGCTTATGAGAAGTAAGATTATATTAGAAAGTAAAATTAAATGAAGTTTTGTATTCCTGATGTAGATATGGCCCCAAGTTCACATTCCATTCTGAAGTTTCTTACCTTTACTCACCAACTACCTCCCTCTTCCTTCTCTCGCCCGTTATGCATGAATACATAGAAGAGAGATTAGAAGAGGCAACATCAGAAGTGGCAAGACAGCACAGAAGAAAAAAAAAAAACAGATCAAGAGTAAGGAAACCTGGTTTTAGCATCAGCTGTCTGACTTTAACAAGTTGCTTAAGACCCAACAATTAAATAAATTGGATTAATTAGGAATTTAACCAGCTAAAAAAACAGCTTTTGTTTTGATTTTCTGCCACAAATCTTTGTAAAGCCTACAAACTGGATTTGAGAATATAAATGGACTCTTTTTCCAATTTTGTATCCCTGATCATTGTTAACAAATGCATGTTAAGTCACATTATAGAAACTTAGAACATTTTGTATTGTTTTCTTGAGTATAGCTCTGCTGTAATGAGTAGGTAGCTGGTAAAAGTGTGTTCTACAAGAACTGAAAATAAAGCTGTTGAAACAAGTGTATTGATTTACTAACATATTGAATTTGAGGGGAATGCACAAGTGAAAAAATGTTGTGGGATCCAGAAAGAAGGTTAGAGTACAGATACCTAGGTCCCATTCTACAGACTTCTCCGTCTGGTGATAGAGCTCAGAAATTATTATTTAAAAAGTAAAAGAGGCTGGGTACAGTGGCTCACACCTGTAATTCCAGAACTTTGGGAGGCTGAGACAGGTGGATCACCTGAGGTCAGGAGTTGAAGACCAGCCTAACCAACATGGTAAAACCCCGTCTCTACTAAAAATACAAAAATTAGCCAGGTGTGGTGGCATACACCTGTAATCCCAGGTATTCGGGAGGCTGAGGCGGGAGAATTGCTTGAACCCAGGAGGCAGAGGTTGTGGTGCGCCAAGAATGTCCCATTACACTCTAGCCTAGGCAACAAGAGTGAAACTCCATCTCAAAAAAAAAAAAAAAAAAGTATGATTCTTGCTAAAAGCCAGATTTGGGAATCACAGACTTGAGTCTACTCATGAGCACCTCTAAGTACTATCTGTCATTTTATTTTAGAAATGTTAGGAAAGCTTCTGTAGCCTTTTTTAGGCTGTGGCAATGGGTTGGAAAGCTTCTTACTCCCAGAACAGTAGAGCCATGAAATTACAGAATTAGAGATTCTATTAGAGATTGCCCAACACTCGTTTGTTTATGTATCATCTATGGCTGCTTTTATGCTTCAGTGGAGGAACTATGTAGTTGCAACAGAGACATATGGCCCAATAAAAATAAAAGAACAAAGACATATGGCCCATAAAACCTAAAATAGTTTCTGTTTTTTTGTTTTTGCTGAGGACTGTTGATGGCAATCAATAAAACACATTTTTTAAATTTTATTTTGCCATACAGCCTGAATATGTTTGTTGATAAAATATTTTCCATCTGGCTTTTTACAGAAAAAGTGTGCTGACTTTTGAGTAAATCATACCTGTCACTTTATAGATGTAGAAATAAGTCTCAGAGACAATGAGTGGAATGTTCCCAGATTACACAGTTAATTGGTGGTCAAATTGTAAATACAGTTTCATTCTCCTTTTCACTGCCTCCATTCCATTATTTTTCTTAGAGGGACTGATACCTGAGTGAGATAAGAAAATTTGTGGTACAGAATTTTATGAGTTCATTGTATAGTCTGTCAACTCTTACATAACGTTGGTTTACAAAAACCTTTTTAATTTAGGTGCAGAGGTAGGATTTGATTGTAGTATATATGGTTTCCTGAGTATAAATCTTTGCCTTGATCTGCCAAGCAGTTTGATAATTAGATACTTTTTGTTACCTGTGCAGCCAAATGGGCGGACTGTTGAAGTGGCTGAGGGTGAAACTGTTCGAACACCTTTAAGTGTAACAGCAAAGCAGCCACCAGAGATTGACAAGAAAAATGAAAAGGTAAGTTTGGGAGCATATGAAATTGTATCCAAGGCTCTTAATAGAGAGAATGACATGTAAGGATGATGCTTTTCTGTTTCATAAGATTGTATGTATACCCCTCATTTAAAGAAAACTCTGAAAATCTGAATTAACCATAGTGGATTGGTGGTAAAAGTTTAACTGAGTTGTTTTTGTTTTTTTAAAGGAAGGTTGTATCACCAAATATTTTAAACATTGCTGTGGCAATGCTAAATATTATGCCAAAAACAATTCATTCATAACATGAACATCTTTTGTGTAAGTTTCCAGATACATAATATACGTATCTTTTATTCAAAAATAGAACTGTAGAATTGTGTTACCTTTGTTAATAGGGCACATCTAGCATGAATATCTTAGCAAAATTGTTCAGTGGTGTTTAGTGTTGAAATAGATTTCTGTTGTGTTGGAGATATAATTGGTAAAAGTCTACTTACTATACATAGGTTAATTAAAATTATCTACTTACTAGACATAGATTAACTTCCTTTAACAAAAGAAAATGTGGGCTGGGTGCTATGGCTCAAGCCTGTAATCCTAGCACTTTGGTGGGCCAAAGCAGGCAGATTGCTTGAGCCCATGAGTTCGAGACCAGCCTGAGCAACATGGGAAAACCTTGTCTCTACAAAAAATACAAAAATTAGCCAGGCATGGTGGTATGTACCTGTAGTCCTAGCTACTCAGGAGGCTGAGGTGGGAAGGATTGGTTTCAGTGAGCCGAGATTGTGCGAATCCACTTCAGCCTGGGCAACTAAGACCCTGTCTCAAAAAAAAAAAAAAAAAAAAAAAAAAAAAAAATGCAGATGTGCACTTTCATTTGAATATGCACTTTTCCAAGTAAGACAGTCTATTATAACACATAAATGGTACATTCCTGGGATTTTATTAATTTTCCAGTTGCTTGGTGTTAGAACTGACTCATTTTTACTTGACTTAATCTAGCTTAGAAGTAGGCAAAATAAGAAATTCTTAACAGTGGTTCCTTCTACTATGAGAAAAGACTTTATTCTGTTTCCTTTTGTTCATTGAATTACTCTGTTTCCTTTTTTTTAATGTGGAGACAGATGTCCCTATGTTGCCCAGGCTAGTCTTGAACTTCTGAGCCTCTCCTCCCTCGGCTTCCCAAAGTGCTGGGGTTACAGGCATCAGACACCACATCCAGTGCCACCCCCACCCCTTTTTATAAAAATTTTGTTTATGTATAGCCCCTTTTTAAGGGAAAAAGAAAAAACCAAAAAACACTGATAGGTAAGTGGTTTCTAGGAACCACAATGCAGCAGCTCTAGCTTCTTGGAATAGTGGTATGAAATGGTTGCTACTGGCTGGGTACAGTGGCTCATGCCTGTAATCCCACCACTTTGGCAGGCTGAGCTAGATGGATCGAAGTCAGGAGTTTGAGACCAGCCTGGACAACATGCTGAAACCCCATCTTTACTAAAAATACAAAACTAGCTGGGTATGGTGGTATGCACCTGTAATCCCAGCTACTTGGGAGGCTGAGGCACAAGAATCACTTGAACCTGGGAGGCTGAGGTTGCAGTGAGCCGATATTGTGCCACTGCACTCCATCCTGGGTGACAGAGCAAGACCCCATCTCAAAATAATAATAATAATAATAATAAAGGTTCTTTGACATCCTTAATACATTTTAAGAATCTAGGCCGGGCGCGGTGGCTCAAGCCTGTAATCCCAGCACTTTGGGAGGCCGAGGCGGGTGGATCACGAGGTCGAGAGATCAAGACCATCCTGGTCAACATGGTGAAACCCCGTCTCTACTAAAAAAGCGCAAAAAATTAGCTGGGCATGGTGGCACGTGCCTGTAATCCCAGCTACTCAGGAGGCTGAGGCAGGAGAATTGCCTGAGCCCAGGAGGCGGAGGTTGCGGTGAGCCGAGATCGCGCCATTGCACTCCAGCCTGGGTAACAAGGGCGAAACTCCGTCTCAAAAAAAAAAAAAGAAAGAAAAAAAAAAGAATCTAAAAGAGTATTTTGTAACCCAGAGGTTTGAGAATTGTTCTAGGAGAGATCAGAGTCTAGAAAGTCAAAAGCAAAATAATTTTGAGGCAACATACATGTAACCAAGTATAAGCTACTTAGCAAAACAAAATATCTGCATGCCCAGAGAGTTTATATGCATGTGTATTTGCCTTCCATAATACATCTTAGAAAGTATAGTTTAAAACCATAGGTTGGGAAACCAGGGCCAAATCTAGTGCTCTGCCTGTTAAAGTTTTATGGGAACACAACCACACTTACTTATCAGTGGCTGCTTTTTACTATAGCAGTGAAGTTGGATAGTTGCAACAGAGAGGGCTTATGATCTGCAAAGCCTAAAATATTTACTATCTGGCTCTTTTTTTCCCCCCTTCCTGAACCTATTAAACTCCCATTGTAGCCTTTTGGAGGCTTTAAATGTTTTATCTGAGTGTTCTCTGAGCCTTGGAATATTAACCTTTTGGGTTTTCTTGTGCCACAGAATTTATAGCTTCATGATTCCTTGGGTTCCCACCCAAGGAATTAGTTTTCAAGGTTCCCTTTAAGGTAAACAAAACTGTTTTTCTGTAAAAGAGAAGGCCTTACTAGGAAAATGATATTTATGCCTATAGACTTTTCTGTCTAAACTGCAAACAGTGGAACAGAGACTAGAATTTCTGCCCCAGTCAGTCATTTTTCCACTATACCTTGGTTTTACCACACAGGAAGTGGCAAGAGGGTATTGAAAAACAGTGAAATGGCAAGTTTGGTTTTAAACATACTTAGATTTAGGCAAAAATGAGATCTCATACTGGTAATAATTTATTAGTTTGTTGGGAATGTGAGAACCATATGGGGGGAAAAGTTCAAAGCTAGATAAAAGGAGTTTTCAAGAGAGGTTTCTTCTAAATGTCTTAAGATTTTGAGTTGATAGGTATGCTGCTTGTGCCATATACCATGTCTTATGAGCCCACACCACACATATGTAAATAATTTGGTGACTTGGATGATAGATCATGAATACAAATATAGTAGTTCAGAGGTTTTATTTGAGTGGAGGGATGGAATAAGAGGTAGACAGAGATGGAATGTAATGCAGTCTAATTTTAGGTTCTGTCATTGGTTACTCATATTAACTGAATACCTTCTATGTGCAAGGTACTACTATAGGCATTAGCAATACAATAATTGATAAAACAAGAGCCCCTAGTCTCTTGGAACTTCGTCGGGTAAACAGCTAGAAATAGAAGCATATTCTCTACTGTCTGTTGGTAAGTACTATGAAAGAAAACAGGCCAGGCATGGTAGCTCATATCTGTAATCCCAGCACTTCAGGAGGCCAAGAAGGGAGGATCTCTTGAGGCCAGGAGTTCAAGACGAGCCTGGGCCACATAGTGAGACTCCACCTGTTAGGAAAAAAATTTTTAATTTAGGCTGGGCATGGTGGCTCACACCTGTAATCCCAGCAGGTGGATCAACCTGAGGTCAGGAGTTTGAGACCAGCCTGACCAACATGATGAAACCCCATCTCTACTGAAAATACAAAAACTTGCTGGGCCTGGTAGCAGGCACCTGTAATCTCAGCTACTCAGGAAGCCAATGTAGAAGAATCGTTTGAACCCATGAGGCAGAGATTGCAGTGAGTTGAGATCATGCCATTGGACTCCAACCTGGGCAACAAGAGTGAAACTCCATCTTGGAAAAAATAAAAAAATTGGCCAGGTGCAGTAGCTAACACCTGTAATGCCAGCACTTTGGGAGGCCAAGGCAGGCAGATGGTTTGAGCTCAGGAGTTTGAGACCAGCTTCGGCAACATGGCAGAACCCCATCTCTACAAAAAATATAAAAATTAGCCAGGCATGGTGGTACATACCTGTATTCCCAGACGCTTGGGAGGTGAAGGTGTGAGCATCACTTGAACCCAAGAGGCAGAGGTTGCAGTGAACCAAGATCATACCACTGCACTCCAGCCTGGGCGGCAGAGCGAAGCCCTATCTCAAAAATTAATCAATAAATAAAATTTTAAAAATTAGCCAGTCATGGTGGCATGGACCTGTAGTCCCAGCTACTCAAGAGGCTGAGGTGGGAGGATCCCTTGAACCCCAGAATTTGAGACTGTAGCAAGCTGTAATCCAGCCACTGCACTCCAGCCTGAATGACAGAGACCCTGTCTCTGAAAAGAACAAAAATGAAAAAATAATTGAACAGGGTAAGGAGATAGAGATAAAGTGCAGATTGTGGGCAGTTCCCTGTACCTGCAATTCTACTCCTACTTCTTCCATTTAGGAAAATAACAATAGTACCAAGTGGAATAACTTTGAATCTCCTTTAAGTTAAACTCCACCAAAAAGGGGGAAATCGATTGCAGAACTTTCTACTTTTAAGGAGATTTGTGATAGTTTTCATACTGTCATCCTGACATTATATCACAAGATTACTAAGATATAGAGGACTGCTGGTATAGGCAAAATAGAGAAACAAAACTTGTATATATATTTGGGACAAGTGAGAAAAATAAGTAGTGCCAAAATGTGAAGCAGTATAAAATAGGAACTTGCCATATTTGGGCAGAAAGTGGATGAAATTGACTCTAAGCAATTTTAATTTCATCAAGTACATTTAAAAACGTTACAATTACAGAAATGAAAGAATGTTGACACATGGAAGTAGAAAAAAAACAAAAATCTCAGAAAATCGGACACTTTTTTCCATGAGTTAGTTAAAAACCTTTTAAGTAGTCTGCAGACCAAAGCATCATAGCAATAAACTACTCAGCATTTGTGTGTGTGCGTGTACATTGTGTGTGTGCATGTACGTGTGTGTGCATGTACGTGTGTGCGTGTGTGAGAGAGAGAGAGATGGGGTCTTGCTCTGTCACCCAGGCTGACTGTACAGTGAAGTATGACTGAAGTTCACTGCAACCTTGATTTCCCAGCTCCAGTGATTGTCCCACCTCAGTTTCCCAAGTAGCTGGGACTACAGGAATGCACCACCACACCTGACTAA